AAAAAAAAAGATCTTTAAAATAGCTAAATGGATGAGGTATCACATTTCAGCTTATTCTCTTCATTGTCCCCTCAGAAACAACAACCATTGTTAGCTTTTAGATTACTTAAATTGTTTCTGTGGAGACAGGGAACAATTTCTAAAAGAGAGAAAAAATAAATCATATAGCACCCCTTTAAATAAATTATTGCTTTAAAATGCCAGAACTTCTTAATAAGCAGAATTTTTTGGGCAGAAAACACAGGAACATTACATACAACAGTATTACCTTCAATATTCTGATGGTCTATAAAAGGCGCCGGACCCCATATTCTAACAGTGCCATCATCTGAGGCGCTGGCCATCATGGATGGAATCTGTGGGTTCCAGCTCACACAGTTTACTGTACGTGTATGCCCTGTCAATTCCGCAATTGGCAGTTCACTACGTTTGTGCCAGATGTAAACCTTGTGATCTGAATATATAATAATTTAAAGAAAAGTTAGGGTTTTACATTAACAAAACCAACTGATCATTCACTGCACACAGAACTTGTGATTCTTACTAGAACTTAAAGGCAAAACAAATATAATATGAAAGTTTAACAAATTACATGATGAAAAGTCATTTTAATAAAATTTACTTTTTTCCTGTTAAGGTAATCAGCTCTCAAGTCACCAAAAAATATCTGCGATATTCTATCAATACATGAGCAATATAATTACAAACCAAGGTCTTTGAATGTAAAACAAACCCAGGATAGGAATAAGGATAAAAATCTATGGAAATGTGAGATGACAAAAAGCAAAGTATTGGCTGAGCACAGTGGCTCACATCTATGATGCTAATTATAATGGGAGGCTGAGGTAGGAAGATTGCCTGACGTTAGTCTGAGCAAGAGCAAGACCTTGTCTATAAAAAATTGAAAAATATTCAGGCAGGGTGGCACACACCTGTAGTCTTAGTTACTCCAAAGGGTGAGGCAAGAGGATTGCTTGAGCCTGGGTGTTTGAGATCGAAGTGAGCTATGATGACCCCACTACACTCTAGGCCAGGAGACAGAGGGAGACATTTTCTCCCCAACCCATTCCCTAACAGGCAGTGATAACTCAAAAACAACGGTAAAGATGATAGCTAAACTTTTCTGAGTGTTTACAAAGTACCAGGTACCAAGTACTTTATGTACATTTCATCTTCATTACTATTCCATAAGGTAGTAGTATCCTTACGCCCTTTTTATGATGACTGAAGCACTGAGAAGTTAAATGGTCTGCTCATGATTAACAGCTAATAAATGGTAAGGTTTGGATTCAAATCCAGAGAAGCCCTGCTCAGGAGTTTATTAGTGAGTCTAGACAATGGCTTATTATCTGCACCACAGTATGGCTTTGTATTAGACTATTTATATAATCTCATAAAGTGACCATAACAAACCAACTCTGCCAGGTATCATGGCTCATGTCTCTTGTCCTACCACTTTGGGAGGCTGAGGCTGCAGGATCACTTCACACCATGAGTGCAAGGTTGCAGTGAGCTATGATGGCACATACCACTGCACTCTATCCTGGGTAACAAAGCAAGACCCTGTCTCAATAAAAAGAATAATAGGCTGGGCGGCACCTGTGGCTCAAAGGAGAAGGGGGCCAGCCCCATATGCCGGAGGAGGGGGGGTTTCAAACCCAGCCCTGGCCAAAAACTGCAAAAAAAAAAAAAAAAAAAAAAAAAAAGGCTTTATGGTCAAGGTCTGCTTGCTCTATCAGTCTGAGAAATTCATTGCTTATCCAAGGGTAAAAAATACAGCTGGTTTTTCTATATATTGTCAACACAACAAAAAGGCTTAAGAAATGGCACTTTTTGGGAAACGGTTTCCTAATTGCTCTGTCTTTTACCGGCATTTTTATGTATTTTGGAGGGTCCTTGAAATACATCCCTTGCAAGTAAATGGCAAATAGATTACTGTGGTCATCTTTTTTTTTTTTTTTTTTTTTGAGACAGAGCCTCAAGCTGTCCCCCTGGGCAGAGTGTCGTGGCATCACAGCTCACAGCAACCTCCAACTCCTGGGCTCAAGCGAGTCTCCTGCCTCCGCCTCCCAAGTAGCTGGGACCACAGGCGCCCGCCACAACGCCCGGCTATTTTTTGGTTGCAGCCGTCATTGTTGTTTGGCGGGTCCGGGCTGGGGATTCGAACCCGCCACCTTAGGTGTACGTAGCTGGCGCCTTAGCCGGTTGAGCTATAGGCGCCGAGCCTACTGTGGTCATCTTAAGAGATAACGTATACACTAGATGTGATTAATGTTTCAGAACTGTAATAAAACATTTGAATTGGCTGGGTGCACTGGTTGATGCCAGTGATCCTACCATTCTGGGAAGGTGAGGTGGGTGGACTACTTGAGCTCAGGAGTTCAAGACCAGCTTGAGCAAGCGCAAAAGCAAGACCCCATCTCTACTAAAAATAGAAAAATTAGCCAGGCATTGCACTGGGTCCCTGTATAGTCCCAGCTGCTTGGGAGGCTGAGGCAAGATCACTTGAGCCCAAGAGTTTGAGGTTGCTGTGAGCTGTGACATCACGTATTCTTCCCAGGGCAACAAACTCTGTCTCAAAACAAAGGACACAAAATACACTAAGTTTTAAAACTGCCTGACTTATTTGTGCTTGTGTCCTTTAAATAATTCATACTTGAGTTTTTCATGTTTGTTTGTTTATTTATTTATTTATTTTTTGCAGTTTTTGGCCAGGGCTGGGTTTGAACCTGCCACCTCTGGCATATGGGGCCAGTGCCCTACTCCTTTGAGCCACAGGCGCTGCCCCATGTTTCTTATTTTTTTGTCTTTTCTACTTTACCACCTTGTGAATCCAGAGCAATTTATATATATTTTATATATATATATTTTATTGTTGGGGAATCATCAGAGCAATTCATATTTTAAATTGGACAGATACATGGCAGCCTGGGATACTGATGCTTTTAGACCACGGAACAAATTTATTCAAAAAAAGTAGGACTAGGGACAATTTTGTTCAAGTTATTTATTTATTTATTTTTTGAGACAGAGTCTCATTATGTTGCCCTTGGTAGAGTGCCGTGCTGTCACAGCTCACAGCAAACTCAAACTCTTGGGCTTAAGCAATTCTCTTGCCTCAGGCTCCCAAGAAGCTGGGACTATAGGCGCCTGCCAAAATGCCTGGTCATTTTCTTTTTGCAGTTGTTACTGTTATTTAGCTGGCCCGGGCTGGTTTTGAACCTACCACGCTTGGTGTATGTGGCTGGCACTAAAACCACTGTGTTATGGGCACCGAGCCAATTAAAGTTATTTTTAAACCATAAGAATTATCAAACTGAATTATTCTCTGTGGCCACTAAAGAAATGTTGAAGATCTAACTATTATCAATTCTGTCCAAGTTCAGGTAGAACATTATAATTAACATCTATCATCTTAACTCTGTTGATCTATCAATCATCTTAACTCTGTCGCCATGGGCTGAGCTCACAGCAATCTCGAACTCTTGGGCTCATGAGTTTATCCCTCTTGTCTCAGTTTTTTATTTTTAGAAGAGACGGGGTCTTGCTCTTGCTCAGGTTGGTTTCAAAACTCCTGAGCTTAAGCAACTGGCCTGCCTCAGCCTTCCAGAATGCTAGGATTATAGGCATGAGCCACCATGCTCAGCCTAGCTAATCTTAAGTTTTTAGACACTACTAATCCTTAAAAACTCAGTCCCATGAAAAAAACAACACAGCACCTGAAAATATGATTTAGCTAAATCTTTTTTTTTTTTGAGACAGAGCCTCAAGCTATCCCCCTGGGTAGAGTGCCGTGGCATTACAGCTCACAGCAACCTCCAACTCCTGGGCTCAAGCGAGTCTCCTGCCTCAGCCTCCCAAGTAGCTGGGACCACAGGTGCCCGCCACAACGCCCGGCCATTTTTTTGGTTGCAACCGTCATTGTTGTTTGGCGGGTCCGGGCTGGGGATTCGAACCCGCCACCTTAGGTGTACGTGGCTGGCGCCTTAGCCGGTTGAGCTACAGGCACCGAGCCGATTTAGCTAAATCTTGATTTGATACATACCCGAAACACTCCTCTACATGGGCAGAGTAGGCAGTATACATTCATAACAATAAAGAGGGCACCAAGTCATTACAAAAAAAGGAAATTAACAGTATACTGGATAAATAACTCACAAATTTTTTAACTTGAATTTCCTTGGGGACATGACTACCTTCATAAATTGAGAATTAAAAACTTTAATATCAATATATACATAAACTGAAATGACACAATTTACCTTCACTGCCACTGGCGATGAAGTCTTCATTATGGCCTCCAAAACATGAATGAATTGTATAAAACCCTTGTGTAACACCTTGATACTTTCTTACTAAAACTCTGTCTTGCAAGTCCCATAAATGAACTCCCTGTGGGCAAAAGAAAATACAGATATTTATTCTATCTCTACTCAGAAAAATTATAAGTAATCTGTGAATATCTCTTTGCTAGATAGAACACTTTTACTTTCTATTTATGCAAAATGCCCATGTTCTAATAAATTTATGGTTTATTCTATATACTTAAGGATCAAACACATGCAATAAAATTTAAGTAGCAGAAATATGTATACTAAAAATCATAATTAGAAAACCTGTAGTAAGCTTTTTCTGAAAATTATTATTAATGAACGTACCTGAGTTGCTACATTTAACAAAGCTAATCGGCCATTTTTTGAAATAGTAAAAGACATAATAGGATGATCTTCTTGTACTCTGAAATCAGAACATAATTTGTCAAAAGCAACATATTAAGAATGAAGACATTCAAATTATAAATATAGAATGTTCTAGCTTAATCTATCAAAACAGAAAATGTTCTATCTCACATGACAATTTTACCTATCATCATTATCATGCACTATACTCAACTGAAAAGAATGAGTTAATAATTACTAAGTACTACCTGACCATCAATACAAATTATAAATCAAATCAAAAACAAAACAAAAAACATAATAAAAACTGTCCTTCTGAAAAATTGAGAAATACTACACATTTTAATACAAATCAGATAATTGCCATTTAAGGGGGAAAAAATAGTTACATGTTCCTATCTGTAAGGTCCTCGAAGTTATATCCCCGAATTCGCTGGTGTGTATCTGATGCCAGAACAGTCTTCCCGTCACTCAAGCACCAAAGGCATTGCACTCTTACCCCTTCCCAGGAGTCAAGAAGATTACCATCTAAATCCTGAGCAGAAGAAAACTACTATTAACTCCCTAACAGCACTCAGAAAGCAAACAAAAAACCAAAAGAATCTCTTCACAATATCCTTTAGTAATTCATTTGTCCTATAATATTCAGAAGTTATGCTACTAAAAAAGATTTAGCTTTTATAATCATTATCTTAATAAATATTCAAAGTTCTAAAATGATTACTGTCCCCATTTTATATTTAGAGAACTATCAAGTCCAGTACCCTGAAGGATAAATGCTTTATAATAACAAAGTCAGGAGAAACACACGAGGTTACTTTGCACCCTGAGAACTGATAACAAATGACTTAAAATCATGTTAAGATAGTATGACAATAAATTCCATATGTCTCAAACCAGCTTAATAAAAGAAATTGACAGCCCGTTTTAGCTAAATTATTTTATTTTGTTTTGTTTTTTAATTATTTTTTTGAGACAGAGCCTCAAACTGTCCCCCTGGGTAGAGTGCTATGGCATCACAGCTCACAGCAACCTCCAACTCCTGGGTTCAAGCGAGTCTCCTGCCTCAGCCTCCCAAGTAGCTGGGACCACAGGCACCCACCACAATGCCTGGCTATTTTTTGGTTGCAGCTGTCATTGTTGTTTG